AGGCAAACCTGTGTGAAGAGCCCGAGTGTCCCCATGATAGTGGCTGAGATGGGCAAGCTGGTATTGGGTGACCTGGCTGAGGATATCTGAAGCTTTGGTGCTTCCCAGTCCCATGTGTTGGTCAATCCACTTTATAAGCCCTGTACGCTTCCCCCACTAAATATTGCATGGGACTAGTTCTGCTAGTGCAGTGCTTTGAGGTGTAATGATGAAAGACACCATATAAAAGCTAGGAATTACACCATTTATTTTGTCAAGGAAAGGAAAAGAAAAACAAGCCACCAAAGAAAAAGCCAAGGAAATATAGTGATAGATCTCCCTGCAGCAGATGTAAATCAGCATAGCTCCATTGTCTTCAAAGACTAGTAGCAGCTGTTGAGCACAGTTATGCCACTTTACACCAGCTGAGGATCTACACTGGACAACTTTAAATATTGAATCTCAATGTTTTTGAGATAGTAAATGCGCAAAAGAAGAGAAGAGATTTGTATCTGATGTTAGTGGTACAGCTAATGTGTCTGGCTTTAAATGAATTACAATCCAAGAACTGCAAGCTGTAGCATTTTCTCCTGCTGTTTTGGACACTCTCCCATCCCTGTGGTGATTGATGCTGTGCTGGAAAACAAGTATGCAAGGAATTTGTTTGGTATGCTCCTGAGTTCATATGTCTTCATTGTAGGTAGTCCATATTGTGTCACGCTGTCCTTGAAAACCCTGCAAAAGAGCTTACAATTAAATTTGAGACTGTGAAGCTGAAACACAACTGTCAGGTGCCAGATGGCATTTTGGAACAGAAGGATTTATTCTAGTTTACAAACAACAAAAGAAAAACTTTGCTGAGCTTTTGCAAACTCCCCTGTGCAAGGAGAATATGAGGGTGGGAAGGGAGGGGAACAGCCTACAAAACACAAGTGACCTCCCCAGGGGTCAGGGCTCACCCAGGCAGGTTGATGGATTGGCAGGTCCACATGATGTACTTTGGGGTCAGAGATGTTTTCCCTGTTTCTTGAGGTCTGGTTTCTGTGGCTCCTTTAGGTGCATAGCCCCGGAGGAGCACCAAACCTGCTTTAGCTGGCCTGAAACCACACCGTGCACTCCAAAGGTGCTGCAGCTGAAAGTCCCACATCGTATTTAGTGCTACTAAACATGCTCAGCTCCTATGGGAACCAGGCACTCACAGAGGAGCAAACTAAACGGGGGACACAGGGTTCTCTGAGCAGTGCCCCTGCATGTCTCTGCAGTGGGGAGCAGAGCCACAGGGCTCCCGAGGACCAGCCAAGTGACTACCCCGTGTTCCCCTGCTCTTGGGTATGGCAGCTTCAGGCACCATTTCCAAGGTCAAAGTCAATTATGCTAACACAGCTCCCCTGTCAGCAGTTCTTATTTATGTATTTGCTTGCTTTCTCCAAGCATGCAGAACAAGTGCCATCATCTGCTTCCCCCCTCCCCATCCCTCTGTGGGTTTATGCCAGGGATCTGTGGCCATCCCCATGGTGGCTCCCATGGTGCTGGTGTGATGCTTCACCGAGGAGCCCTCTAGGGTGCTGGTTTGCTTTATCTGTCCATGGTCAAAGCACAAGCTCCTGGGTGTGTCAGTGGGCTGATATGTATGAGGTTCCCTGTGTGTCCATGCTGGTTTCAATTGGGAATTGCTCCTGTCTGGCAGAGTCTGAGCCGCTGGTAAACTTCAGCCCTTGCAGATTTTGCTGCAATGTAAAGAGTCAGTCATTCAGAGACACATGGGAAGAAGAGGGGAAAAGAAGAGAAGTTTTGTAAATCCTCTAGTCCCCTGAAACTTTGCTGTGTTCCAGTGACATTTCCTAAGTGATTAAAAAGAAAAAAAAATCCCTGAGAAAGATGAGGATCATCAAATCAAAGCAATTTAGCACATCGTGACAAGAAAGATTAGCCCTGCCCAATGTTCATCTTGGTTGAAAATGATTTAAATAAAGCTATAAATCTTCTGGAAATTATGCAACATTTTGTGTCAGCTGGAAACTCCTGCCTAAATCTGTGTGTATAAAAGCCAGGAATTAAACTCACGTGTCATGGACATCACTTTACTTTGTAAGTGACCCATTTGAGACGTTCATTTCCATACAAACAGAGCAGGGAGGCAGCTGCTCATCAGACTTTACCTGACCTGTTGTCACCACTGCAGCTTTGCTGCCCTGGTCTCATCCTGTGGCTCCTCTGATGGGCTGGAGCAGGGGGACAGCCCATGGCCCTGGGCAGCTGCTTTCCAATGGGACTGATGAGTATCATCTTTGTCCAGAGCACGCAGGGGTTAGGATGTGCTGGTGTGCCATAATCAGTCAGAGCAGCAGCAGGCCCGGCTTAAATTCAGACTGGAACCCCTGGGATGATTAACCACATCCCACAGCTGCAAAAGGACCACTGTGAGGTCTGGGAGATTAACACCTCCTGTGCACTCCCTGCGTCCCAGGGAGAAGAAAAGGTTTAGGCTTGCCCTAGAATAAGACTTTCAGACCTCTTGCTTTTGTAAAGCAGATTGCAGCCACAGCAGCCTGCTGATCATCTTCCATCATCTTCACTGGCAGACTGCAGAGAGAGGTGGTGTCTTGTCCTGGCCCAGTAGAGAAAAAAAGAGGAAAGGAATTTGGACAGGCAAGTCTTACCGCGTGTGCCCAGAGCTCATTTTTAATACTTGTAACTATCCCTTTCAGTCTAATGTATGGTATAATCCTCCATGTGAATTGTGACTTGATATTCATCACATCATGGCTCTGTCTGTCCCACAGTTGCATGAATACATAAATGCAGCCAGAGTAGAGACACAATACTGCTACTTTTCCCACTAAGAGCGCTGACATAAGCTCATTTGGAAGTGCGTGTTGTCCCAGCTGGGGGGTTTAATGTTCCCACTGGGTTTTCCTTTAATATAAAATGACATCTGAGATGAGACAGAAGATCCTCCAGTCCCTCCATATGTCCCAGAGAAGGAGCTGCTCAAATACCAGTGTTCCCATGGCCACATAACTGCACTGTGCTCCTACGACCGTATATCTGCATGCTACCACACAGCTGATCTTTCTCTGCTGAGGGTGCAATGGCTGTCTGTGATTGACTGTAGCCAGAGAGGGTAATTTTGGCTGCTGCTTCTTTTTTACTTTTTAATTGATTTTATTACCCTTCCCTGTTGGAGAGCTGCCATTCTGGATGCAGATCATCATTATTTCATGTCAATCAAGTGACCCTAGCAAACAGCAAACTGCTTCTTCAACATCTACTAAAAGGTTACTCCCGGCAAAGGCAGGGATGGAGCAGGTTAATTATGAAAATACAAGGTTTTGTAGATTAATTCACATTTTTTCTCAGCTTTTCAGCTCCAGCTGGATAGTACCAGTCTTCTTTTCCAGAGTGTGGGGACCTGTGCAGAAGGGAGATGAGAGAAAGCGGGGGAACAACTGTCACCCTAGAACAGGTCTCAGCACCATCTTGGATCTGCACCCCCAGAAAGGGAGATGACTGACATGCCAGTTTGGATGGGACAGGCAATAACCTGTTTGTCCTGTGTCCCACTTTGCAGCTCGCTTGCCTGACGTGGTGGACAAGGCACAGGAAAGCACCTGCCATTGACCTGAAGGATTACAAGAGTGGAGCAGCACAGACCAACCCAGCCAGTGGAGAGAGTGACTTGGTGGAAAGTGCAGATTCCGGCGATAAGCAGGAGGCAGGTAGGGACACTCTGAACAAGCACAATCATCCGCCTGTGAGTGCACAGCCAAGATCTCACTCAAGTCCCTCTAAAGCTCATGGCAGGCCATCTGTTGCATTCACTGGAAGTGGGACATGTTTTTATGGTATAGCAGTTATAAGGATGTGACAAATTAAAGTGTTGCGGTTCTTGGTCCTCTCAATGTCTCTTCTAGCATTTACCTTCATGTTGCAACCCTCTGAATGGCTCAGAAGAGCTGCCATTCCTAAAAAAAAAAAACCCCAAACCCACCATCCAGTAGAAAGATTTTTCCCTCTTCCTCCCTAGACCAAGTTATTTACCTGTGCAAACTACCCCATCCCAGTCATGCCCAAGTCACAGTGTTATTTTAGCATTTCAGGCCTTCACACTCAACGGTGTGCTGGACTCCTTAAACAGGAGCCAGTGGCCACCTACGAGCAGCCCTTGGCAGGGTGGAGGTCTGTGCTGCTGGGACACTGCTCCTTGACCCGTTGACACTGGGGCCTTGTGCCATGACACTGCATTTGTCTGTCTCATCAAGATGCTCTTGGGGAGCTCAACAGCACTACTGCAGGCATAACCAAAGCACCAGGTCCGACTAGCACCACAAAAGTTGTGGCAGGCTCTCCAATTTCAACTTTCAGCACATAAAAGTGGCATTTCTTCCTGTCCTCATCATTCCTAGGGAGACAACCCCCTTGTGTATGTGCTAGAAATGCCTCCTCCTTACCCCTGTGTAGGCTCTGCTGGACAAACTCACCCAGTGATGCTGTAACTTACTGTATCAAAATAGCATCGTGGTCCGAAGGGACAATGAGACACTAGGAGCAGATGTGCACTTCGTGGATGCCCTAGGATAAAACTACAAGCCACAGCTTTCTCATTTCCATTATGCCAATAATATCTTTTATCTTCCCTTAGGATATAAACTACGGTTAAAACTCAGACCCAGATTGCTTAAATAGCTATACGTCCTCCCAAGGGTATTTAGTAAGAAAGAAGGCAAAGAGTCAAATGAACTCAAAGAGGTGTCAGGAGACAGAACAGTAGCAGGAGATGCTACACAGGCAAGTTCTTTTCAGAGTGGACAGAGGTTTATCCTGCAAATCCATTCAAAAATGCAGCTTTCTGGTTTTGAGCTTAACCTTCCAAGGTTACAGAGCAGAAATCTCAGAAGAAAGGCACATACACAAGATTTCTTCACTCCCTTCTTTTGCTGGTGAGCCCAAATGACACTGGTACCAATTACAGCCAATCTAAACAGAAATGAACAACTAAAGAAATCTCCTAGTACTTTTTTCTTGACCCAGTGGAGTGAGTTTGGGTTTAAGATGACTGCAGCCATTCAGTGCTATTTATTATTTCTTATCAATTCCTAGCTCGCTTAACTAGCTCGGATTCTTATAAACAAGTGTCTTGGTATTTTGGTAATTAGCAGTGATGGGAAAGGAAATGTGAAACACAGCAGCTGACAGTTTAATGAGGTTTCTTTTCCCAGGTAACACCTTTTTCAAGGCCTTATGACATTCTGCATTTCAAAAAAAGTTTATATTTGGAGAGAACAGGCAGTGAAATACACACGGTGCAGCGCTGACAATTAAAGCACATACTTCTCCCGGCATGTCACGTGTAATGAATAAGCCAGGATGTCTCTAAATGGACCATCATGCTGTCAGGAATTTGTGAAAGTGGATAGAAGCTGGGTCAGGGAGGAGGGGGAAGAGGTCTGTTAATTAACTAATGAACGATTGGTGTTGCAATCAACTGACTGTAATCAGGCTGTGCTGTATATGGTTGAGCCAGAGAGTTCTCTTTACCCTTCCCTTCCCATCTCATCTCCCATCATCATCTGGCATCTCCCATCCAAGACGCATCCCAAACCCCACTCCAGATTGGTCAGTGCACCTCCCAGCTAGTGGAAGGAGGGAGGGAAGAGTCCCAGCTATTGGATAACACCCAGTTTTGTTCCATCTCTCACAGCAGGCAACCGTCCCTGCTGGAAGATGCTGTACTTGTGGTTCTGCGGTCTGCCCACTGGCCCCAAGCCCACCCTGTCCCAGGAGGAGAGAGCTGCTCTGGAGCAGAAACTCACCAGCATCGAGGAAAAGCACCCGTGGAAGACTGTTTGCAATATTAATGCTATTCTCCTGCTGACCATTAATGTCTTCCTGTGGGCATACTTCGGCTGAGGTAGAGTTGGGCAGTCCGTGGCTTTGGTTTCTCTCAGAGGTCCTCATCTTCATGTCCAAACTGGAACCATGCAGTGACAGAGACCCTTGTGGTGGTTCCCAGAGGTGCCAGCACACCTTGGTGCAGCCCTTCCCTGGAGGCACTGCTTGCTGGAAATGACTGCAGGGCTCAGTTTCTCTGTAACATAAGATGTGACCAAGATTCAACACATCCAGGATGCAGGAGGTGTGTGGGACAGCACGTGCGTCAAATCAGAAGGCTTGAGGTCAATTTTAAAGGTAAAGCTAAGCCAAACAAGGAGCAAAGGCTTTGGAAAGCCCAGCTGTGGCATGGCCGAGTCCTTGCTCCCTTCATGCACCAGCTCAGGGCTGATTTTGCACTGCTGCAGTTAGGGAAGGACTTCTGATTTACACTGGTGTGGGGAGCCTTCCACCTTCCCCGAGCCCCTTCACCCTGCACACTCTGCCATGTGATTGTGGGTCTGACAACAGCCTGAGCCTGTTTACTCATCCGGCCACTCCTGCCCCTTGACAGCATTGCCAGCAATAAAGGTGCCTCAGTAACAAAGCCAGTTCTGACTTTGGGTTATTGTGGTTATATATACTGCACTGATGCACAAAGGTCTCCCTGGGACCACAGTGACCTGGCTGTGGTAGGGAAAAGAAATATCCAGCAAGGCTGGACCTTGCTTCCTTGAGCAAGTCCAGGCTTCTCTGACCCATCTGGATACTGTCATATAATGTGTCATGGCCATAACTTTTTTAACCACCTCCAGAGGAACAGAGAGCAGTACCCCCTGTTAATATCTTTGTCTGGTGGTTAGGATGCTCACCTGGAGAAGGCTAAAAATGCCCACAGGGATGTGACCCTCCACTCCAGCATCCAAGGGGCACGTCCAAGCCACCAGGCATGGGCTGGGCAGGGAGATGAGGGCATGCAGAGAAGTAGAGCGCTGTAAAGATGAAGAAAATGAGTCGTGATCCAGCAAGGAGAGGGGAAAAAAAGCTCTGTGCCCACCTGGATACATGGTTCCTCTGTTCATCATCAATTTGGATGGAGAGAACTGAATAAGCCATGCAGGATGGGGTCTGTGCTGTGCTCATGCAGGTCAATGCAAGCATTTTCTAAGAGGTAAAAATAGATTTCCTTTGAATAAGGGAGATCTCAGCCCCATCAGTCACCTGTGCATCCCCACGGGAAGAGGCATATGATGCAGAGCTTGCCTTGCCTTTCCACTACTCAGTTTTGAGCAGGTGGTGCCCAGATCAGAGGGTGCCTCAACACATTTGGAGGAAATCAAGTTACCAGCTGTGATTAATAGCTGGTAAATGTCTAATCATAACGGACACGTTCCTAATGCATTTAGCAATACCAGGGCTCCTGCCTCCTTGCCTGGAGCAGCAAGGTGCTGAGTGCTCCTGAGCCACAGAGCCCCTCTGCAGCACTTAGCTCAATGGCTTTATTGGCTTGCTTTGGACCACACATCCGCTAAGGCCATGCAGAGAGCAACGCAGAGCAGGATGAGGAATACCAGGGCAGGGTTTAAAATGTTTGAGGTTATTCTTTTCCCCCTAGAAAATTTCAGTTTTGTGGAGAACAGAACTGAAAGTTTCTGAGCCTTTTTTTTCCTTTTTAATGACACAAATAGCTTTGATCTGTAGTTATATGACCCTGACCCATCTCACCCCAAGGACCCTGGAAGACAATGTTTCCATTAGAGTGATGGTGTCTATGTCAGTTAAAGCTTTAAGAGATGTGACCGCATCTCTGAGCTCGGCCCACAGAAGGAATAGAGACATCCGCACTGCCAGATGCAGCCAGCTGTGCGCCCACAGGAGAAACACATTTCATTAGGAATTTGATTTGACTTACTACGCTGCTTGAAACCACTAAATTGAAATGAAAGATAAAAGAATGATTGGGGAGGAGGAGGATGCTGAAACAGTTTACTGAAAGAAACTGAAGTCCCCTCAAAAACATCTTGACCTTTCTTTGTATTATCTAGGAAAACACCATATTTAGCTGGAGAAAAAATAAAACCAAACCAAAAAAAGGTTATGTTTTTCCTTCTGGTTGAAGATTGGGGATGGGGGGAGTTTCCTTTTCCTGTTTTTTCTCATTTTAATGCCCCTGCTCCTCCTTTTTCTTCTACTCTCATTCCCTCTGCCTACATCCATGTATAGCTCTTCCCCTACACCTCCCTCCACCCCAACCTTGATAATTTCCAGTTTATGCTACATCTCCCCATGGGTCACATTTGAACACACAGAGTCCTTCCTGCAGCAAGCAGGACCATGCTCACCCCGGCAGCTCCCCATTAGCCTCACACCTGTGTGCTAAGGAGCTGCAGGGATGGGGACAAGGGCAGGGACAGGATAGGGTGGGGTGGGATGATTCCTGGCTCCCTACTGGTGCAGGGTGATGCTGTGGCAGAGTGCAGTGAGCGTGCAGCTCTTTGCACCATCACTGATATGCTCTGAGGGTTATAAGAGGGAAACTCCAACAGAGGTTCTGCAGGTGGAGCGATTACAAGCTCCAAATACAGCACTCTTTTCCTAACAGGGATGATCAAGATCAAAAACCAAGGCCCATGACAGTCACATGCAGCATCCGTGAAGAGCTTTATCTATCTCCTAATGCACGGTGCATGCAGTGATGCAGGGGTACTTTCTAAACCTGTGTCAGAAGACACACAAGTGCTGAAATGCCTCTGGCAGGCTTTGGAGGAACCTTTATAGAGATACATGAGGTGAGACAAGTGCAGACCCTGAGCAAAAGCACACATCAAACACCCGGTGCTGCAGGTGTTGCTCTGTGATAGCAGCAGCTTCTCACTAGCACTGCTCAGCCTGCACCATGAGGGCAGAGCTCCCAAGGGAACAAGGATCCAATCCAGCCATAGCCCCACAAGCAAGGAATGAGCAAATTCCTGGGGTCCAGGAGGGCTTTTAGCAGTGCCATAAGGAAATGCAAGTGAGAAGTCAGAGCCCAGCAGATCTGGGGCTATGGTGAGACAGATTTACTTACCCAACAGTGGATGTGTTGGGCTGCAGTGCAGCCTTGGTGTTGGGCTCCTCACTGGACAGTAGCTTGTCATCACCCCAGGAGCATGACCCAGCCTCGCTCCTCACAGCGCGGGATGAGTTGCAATATCCTAGCAAGAACACATCGCTTTCAGAGCTGTAACCAATATACAAGTCCATTGGCAGCAGATGTTATTAATGATGCCAATACACATTTTCTTATTAATCTTCCATACTAGGTTTGTGTCTATCTGCAAATGATTATCATTCATTTTCCTGACAAATCTATCAAGATCATTTATTACTGTTCAGCAAAGGATCTTCTTTTAAACAAAGATTAATAACGTTGCATTTTATCTGGCTGGCTGAGCCAAAGGAAATGAAATTAACAATGAACCCTACAAACATGTCATCACTTTAATTTACCGGAAAATACTTAAAAACGTTATTTAAAAGAATATACGCTGTGGTGGGCACAGCTTATTATAAAGAAAAGAAAAGAAACCACATGCATTTTAGCAGAGTGGAGAATAAGTTAGCAAACAGGGCACCATGTTTCCTCTGGTTCCTCGCACTTGTTTTCTGGCAGAAGGAGGGAGCAGGTCCCACAGCCTCTTGTCATGTGCAGACAAGCACCTGCCCAGGTGAATCATGGCTGATACTCACTGTTCTTGGATTAAAGTGGCTGCTATGTGGGATCACAAGCTCTCATCCCTGCATGCAGAGAAAGAGAGCTTTATAATCATGGAAAGGCAAAAGAAGGGATAAAGCCAAAAGGAAATGGCAAAGGACAAAATATAGCAGGAAACTTCACTGGGGTAAAGCTTATGGAGCTCTGAGAGAGAGGAGAGCACATATGGGCTGTCAGAGTCCCAGCATCTGCTGCACTTTTGGTCCCAAGGAAGAAAACAAACTCAGTAAATTTTCACTTTTTAGATTCCTTTCTTCTGCACTCTCTTTCCCCTTCCCTTCCTTTCTATTCCTTTCTCTTCCTTTTCTTTCCCTTCCCTTCCCTTCCCTGCCCTGCCCTTCTATTCCCTTCCCTTGAGTAAACTAACAATAAACAATAAATATACATCAAAGAGCATATCAGAACCCCCCCTCTCCTTTTACTGCCAATAGTAATGCAAAACCTTAAAATTATCTTTGCCTTTGCATTGCTTTGTTCATACCCATGAATTTACATTTTGAGCCCTGTTTTTGTGCAGGTACCCACCACTGTGTCTTCACAGGACTTTCCCCATGTGCCTGGCTCTGGGCTGTGACATCTCCAGCAATGGGAATCCCACCACTCCCCTCCACAGCCTTGTGCCGGGGGTGTTTTCCCCTGATCCCAAACACTGAAGCTCACTTCTCCATTTCTCAGCGTACAGTGCTTCCAACACCAGCACATCACTCCTCTTCCTTGCCGGGAGGGAAAGGAGAAGGTTGCTTAAAACAATTTTGCATTACATAGTCGAGAAGCGTTTCTCCTGCAGATAATAGAGTCAACTTCTTACCTGCAGTGGATTCATCTTGTCTTTCCCAGATACCAGGTTAGGAGCAATGTTTTAAGCCCCAGACTAAAGAAAATAACCCTGCTAACCTTGAGCTGTAGCAGTTTCAAAATGCTGACGTATCGTCAAGAGGATTTCCAAGCGTGCATTTGTGTACCTCTGCAGAGCAGCAAAACCACATGCACTGAATTGGCTGGTATTTAACCATACATTGCATTGCCACCTAACAAAGTCTTCCTTTTAATTAAAAAGCCATCAACATAGCCTAAGTCTTGAAAAGTTTATAACAAATAAGAAAAGCCTGAATATACCCCAAAGCAGGGTTTGGCTTCTCTGCGGATTAAAAAGTAGTATCTTAATAAGAGAAGCAAGTTGCCCATCTGTTAAGCTGAAGCCGTATCTCCGGTTACTTTGGGGATACTCTGTAGTTCAAGAAGTGGCAAGAGATCAGGCTGCGTGTCCAGGCCATACGTACTAAAG